GTGGGTGGTGAGTCACTGAGGTTCTGCATCGTAAAATGTAGTCTGTGACGACGCAAAACGACGTAGTATCGGTTCACCGGGACGTTAAACAAATTTTTGGTCTCTAAAGTTTAGCGACGTAAGTAGTACCGAAACAATGTTAAGCGGGACGGCGTTAAGTGCGGACTTACTCTATGGTACTGTACAGTTGCAGAAATGTGTTCCTACACCCCTTGTGGTAACCTGTGTCTCCAAGTGTCCAACCTATATGACCTATAGCTAACCTATCCACAAATCACATCCGTCGTTACACAACCAATACCCAATCATTCATACAGTAAATAGTGATACTACTACTGGGACGGTGCCGTTTGGAGACACGGGTTACCACAGGGGGTGTGGGAACTCCTTTCCCCAACTGTACATTGCTGACTCTTATTATCATAGAATAACACATGATCACAGTATGCTCCCCAGGGCTCAAAATACTGTTAGGTCTCCCTTCATATCAAGGCTTCCTCAATTGCAGTTTCCAATTTTCACAGTATTAAAAATGCATCAACTTCCTCTATTGCAGTTCCAATTATCCTAATTTCTCAGTGGTGGTGAAGAGTTTGTCATTATATGGTCCCTATGTCTCTCTCAATATAGGCCCTAAATGCAAGTGGGATAAACAATATTGAATCTGATATGTTATATTATCCACAAACTTGTGCTGTTATAACAAGAGATAAACCCCCAAAAATGGTGTATGATGATTTGGAAGAAATTAATGTGATAGAAATGATTGAGACTCATTTGGAGGAAATGATTCAATACAATTTAGTAGAGGTGTCATAGCAGGGAAGAAAAAAGTTACTGAACAATATTGTAGAACCACATAATGACAAAGAGGTGGGCTAAACACCTCTTGTTTAATGACCAAATTATCCATGAAGGGACTGATATGGACCCCAACCTGAGTGAAGTTTACAGATTGGAAGGATGATAATATCAAATGTTTCTGCCTACAGGGACCTTTATAAATATAAACAGCTAAGACCTCTCCACTGGTGCCTAGAACTTCCAGTTCCCCTATCAGCTGACACACACTCACTCCAAAACTCAGGCTTATAACAACAGTATCCCTGTAAGTTCACTTGAGCAGCCTCTACTCCACTCAACATGACCCTACCACAACACAGTGATGACACTACAATGCTCTCTCATCACACCAGCCTTTGCTCGTGCAGAAAACAACAAAATGAACTAATCAGTAAAGTCCATTTCCCTTATACTGGACTGTTCATTCAATAAAATTTACAGTATGTATGCAACTACAGGCACTCCCTGACTTACGACAGGGATATACTTTTATCCTCTTCGCCACTGATCAGCTTGTTAGCCGCTTGGGCGATCGGTCACGTCTCTGATTACTTTTCCTTTTCATTTACCTTTTTCACCAAAAGATCGGCTCGCTAGCCGCCCGGGCGATCGGTCACGTCTCTGTCACGCACTGTTGGCAAATACTGGGCATGCACCGGCTCCTGAATGTACCTGAACCCGCTCCAGTGTTGGTCAAGTCTTGTCTTGAAAGAGCTCACACTCGGTGCCGTCACAACACTCTCTGGTAGATTGTTCCAAGAGTTTACAACCCTCACTCTGAAAAAGTTTGCCCTCACAGTTTTCTGGACTTGTGGCTTCTTCAATCTTGAGCTGTGACCCCTTGTGGGGCGAGTGTCCACCAGCTCCAAGTAAGGACACTCAACTGAGTACAGGTAGTGCCCCCTGAGATGCTTTTACACCTCAACTAGGTCCCCCCTTGCCCGTCTGTAGTATAAGCTAGGCAAGTTCAGGCACTCCAATCTCTCAGGGTAGCTGAGGTGCCGAAGTGCAGGCACCAGTCTGGTGGCCCTCGTTTGAACATTTTCAACCAACTGACAGTCCCTAACATATCTCGGGGACCAGATGGGGTGATAGTACTCCAGATGGGGAAGCACTTCACTCCTGAAGATCGTTACGAGGGACGGACCATCTAGATATCTGAACGACCTTCTTATAAGACCCAATAATTTATTTGCCTGATTTACCTTCTTCTCGCAATGGCCCGAGAACTTCAGCTTATTGTCAACATACACACCTAGGTCCTTCTCACATACAGTCTCAACTAGTGCAGTTTCTTCATCCCGTTGGGACATATGATACGCCTCCTTACCGTTGGTACGCCCCAGGTGCATCCTCTTACACTTCGTGACATTGAATCTCAGCAGCCATTTCTTTGATCATTCCTGGAGCCCACAGAGGTCCTTCTGCAGGGACCCTGATCATAAGTCGATCTGTTCATAACTCGGAACATTGTAAATTCCCAATAAAGTACCTGACGCAAAAGCATGTGACTGAGTGGTAGCGAGTTAAAGATCTGTTGAGGAGCGATTTGTAACACTCCTTTCCACCTCTTTGCTTTCTCACTCCATATTTTAAAATGTTATGTAATGTAATACCTGATATAAATGAAGATTTACAGATAACTTTCTTTTCACATTTACATTTGATAACATCGCTGGTGGTATTGTAACCAAGTCAGACTTGTCACTGTAACCACCAGGTTACTGAGCCAAGCTGTGAGGTATTGTGGTTGTTTTTCAACTCGCATTTTCGGGTAGATATACCGGGTACGTAATTTTCTTCATTTATTTTTACTTGGTTACATGAACACACCATCCTAAATACATCTTGTGAAAAAAAAAGGTAAAACAAATACTAATTGCCATGAGGGTAAACACAAAGGGAATATATACAATTCTTTGCACATGAGTTAGCTGGCTCAGTGGGTTAGCTGGCACGGTGTGCCGAACAAAGTTGAGCGCTCCACTCATGGTTCATAAGTAAAATAGACGGCCGTATATCGCTTTTTATTTTTTAAAGAATATTATTGAGCAATAATCGTAAGTGCGGATGTTCGTAACTCGGGGAGTGCCTGTATTAAATTGCAATCACTGTGGTGTATATGTGAAAATTTAGTAATGTACATAATCACTGCCACAAAGGGGAAAGTTGGCTGTGCTTGGGAATGTAACCCTTTTTTTTTACTATAAAACCAATCTTCATTTACATTGATTTCACTTATAAGGTAACAGGCTTTTCTAGGAACAGAACCCTAGTATAAATGAAGGTAACCAGTACACACACACACACATACACCATAAATGGTGTAAAATTTACCAGCAGCATCTTTGGGATTGAGCTAAATAATGTTTATCCAAACTTCAGCTGGCAAACAGAAGAATGGACACCACCATTCCCTAATATCTTTGTCTGCTCTGTGGACATAAAGGAACCAACAAGGCCAAACTGTAAATCATGGTTCTCCTGGATTAAGCATCTACAACATCAGTATAGAGAAAGAGTGACCCTGTCGACATTCTAAGACTATGCAAATTTTTTTTTTTAATATATCCGTGGAGGATTGTGAGTGTCTTTCCTCTTTCTGTACCTCTCATTAACAACAGATGCACATCAGGTATATAGTACATTAAATACTCGTAGATATAAATGGTACTGTACTTCAAAAAGAAATTCATGCAACACATGCTTAGGAAGCCTCACCATTTTAACAGCCTGAAGTCTTCTAGCTTTACTAACTTCTAGCATGTCTTGCTACCCTATCTGTATAATATCTTGTTTCTCTACCCTACTATGTCCTGCTAAATTCACATGACCAGCTCAGAGAAATTCTAATTCATGATTGTCAATAATGTCTAGTTTCTCAAAAACTCATTGGAAGCCAAATTCAAAAGTCAATATCACTCATATTTCTCCAACTTAGAGCAGTCTAATCATTAATGTTAAACAAATTTTAGTGTCTACCAGGAGAGATTATACAGGTAAGGTGTCCTCAGAGTTGTTATAATGGCAAGGCAATTCATGTCTGGCATTCCTGGTGGAGAACACTGTGCATGCAGTGTGGGGTAACACAGAACAGTGTTCAAAAGCATTCAAGGGTACCAGGACATTCAGATTGTGTTTTTACAAACCTACTTCTATTTTTTTTTATAATATGGGCTCTGTCATTGGAGTTAGTCAATTCTCAGTACAAAGATCTGACTAGCTGCCTAGCAAGTTGACAAGTGATGAAAATGATACAGTAAAATTTTATGCACAGAATAGTACACAAAGATTACAATTAATAATTCTAAATCAAACAAATGGTTTTGTATATCAAATTCTAATTGTTTTGAAATTCATTAAATGGTGTACACAAAGCCCAAGTTATAAAACAAAAATTCATCAATTTTATGTTTGAGAATCCACAATGTACATTCAAAAGATGGCATATTATAAACTCTCGAATATACTGTAGTTTATATTTCAGTAAGCATAGGGCAGGAGTGGCCCAGCAAGACACGGGTTATTGACAGGTTGCACCGTATTAGACACAGTGCAGAGGTCTCAGGTGGGTGGCGGTGGTGAGCATGAGCGCCAAAGAAAAAAGGCAAATTAAATTTCCAAAGGAAAATAATGACAGAAAATAAATATAATGAACATTCTTCTTCTCTTCACCTGAATAACTTATTTTCCGAGATTTTCTCCACCTCCGCCAGGGAGACGAAACCACTGCATAGTGTGATGAGATTTGGTAAAAGTTCAAGTTCAGTAAATAATTTGGGAACATTTATTTACATGAAATTAGGCTCTGTATTGCCAGCTAAATTTCATAAATTAGTACTGTAATAGAAAAATTTTCTATTGTTAACTAGGTAAACACTTCATGCCATGTAAGCATTGGAAAAATATTTCATGTCATAAATACTAAGTATACATATGTTATATGAAAAATATGCCAAGAATTACAAAAATAAAACTCTGCCACAATGAACACTAAAGCAAAGCTAAACGATACTGATAGCATAGTAAAAATATGATAAAATTCTATTAATTTATGAATCAAATGCAGAGGCAAGATATTGAGTAGAAATAATCCAACGTACCCATACAGTAAGTCGGAAAACATGAATGAAGAGAATATATGGGACAGTACTTACGGGAGAAGCACCATTTTTCTGTCTTGAAGGCGTACAGGACAATCAGTGTGACCAGCACAAGGATGACGAGACAAGCGATCACGATGCCAATCACGGTGGACATGGACACGGGCTCTGCTGAGGGAGGGACACGCTGTAGTGGGGGCTTGTCTACATGTCCTGGTGGGGGAGGGGGAATTCACCAGGTCTGGCCACCGAAATGATCTCCTAGTCTTTCAGCATTACCCATGTTCAATGTTTACAACTAGGCCTTAAGTATATAATTTAATAGTACCCATAACATCATTTCCAAGCTTTACCAATTAGCAAGTTTGACAGCAAAGACTTGAGTATACTAAACAACAATATCTAGAACACTTTTCCATATTTTGCTTATCAGTAACATAGCTTAAGAAACCCTTGCTAATCTTACAATCGTTTTTTTTTTTAAACTGATCATCCTCAGTCTCAAAACCCTTCATGTACTGCTTTGTGATATATATGTCGATTAGTACAGTACAGTACAGTATACTCTCAAACCTGTACAGTATGCATAACTTCCTGGTGTATATATCACCCTCTGAATCATATTTTTGTAACTCAACAATTCCTGTTGTGGATAATAACTAACAGAACTTAAATGAAAAAGTTCAAGTTTTTAATGCCACACATTTTAAAATTGTCCTCTTCACACACCCATGACAAAATGCAGGGACACTGTAATATGTTTGACCAATTACAGTACAGTATATAGTATTCAATTGGGACAAGAATGAAAATGAGGTTCAATAACTTGTAGCTTTTGTCTGGTAGAGGGTGAGTAGTTGGGTGATCAGGGTTTAATTGGCAATCTAACAACACCCTTGTTAGCTGGTAAATTTGGTGCTCATCTATTGAAATCCGTCACACTAAAATCTTCATTTTATGTGCACTGAAGCCCAAGTTTTCTTCAATATCAAAACCTGCATATTTTAGTCAGGTTATTATGTCCAACCAAGGTCCATTATCTCCAGCCCTTGAGAGTGTGTCACAGAAAACAGTATGAACAGTATTTGGTCTGCCAGGCCATGATTGGTTGAATAGTGTGACGTCATGTTTCCTAAATTAGATGAAGCTTCTTACAATGCCTCTCATGATGACAGCAAACAACATGAACCGACTACCTATATTTGACTGTAAGATCCCAGGTAGGTTAAGTTTGGTTGGATAAAATTTGGTTGGTTCTTGTGGTCTGCTTCAGAAATGTCACATATTCCAACCAATCACAACCTCGCTGACTACTGTAATGCTCCATATTCACATGTACTGTATAGAACACTCACTCTATTATCAAATACGGTAGAGCATATACCTGACAAAAGGTATTCACAGTATCAGTGCAACGAGTGAGTACTTTCCATTCTGATGGTTCGAATTCACAAAGAATCTATGCATTACTTTTGTCCCTCATCATGCATTTAGAGAATTAATGTCATAAAGGAAGAATTTCAGTATAATTCTGAAACCATAATGGAGAATATTTTTGTGCTTTAGCTTAGGTCACCCAGTTTGATACATTATGTAACTTCATTTGCAGGAAAAATTAACACATGAACCTTTGATAGTCCAAACCCAGGAAGGCAAACAGTACTTCAAAGACACCCCTACAATGATGCTGGTTTATATTGCACCAAAGGTACTCTTATTAAATCTTCTTTCTCTCTAAGGCACAGTGGCCCACACTACCCACCATTAACTAGGAGACCGACAGCATAGCGATCTGCGCCCTTGTCGTTCTCCACGTTAAGCACGTAGTCCCTGGCATCTGCGATGTCCACACCTTGTACCAACAGCCGTGCAGAGTAGCAATCCTCCCGTGCATCCTGCTGGGGAGGAAATAAGTAGAGTATCCATAGTGGAGAGAGACACCAAGGAGAGTACCCATAGTGAGGGAGACCTGTACAGTAGTTATAGTTGAGAGACCTGTAGAGTAGCTATTGTGGGGAGACCTGTTAAGTATTTATAGTGGGGAGAACTATAGAGTAGCTATAGTGAGGGAGACCTGTAGAGTAGATATAGTGGGGAGACCTGTTGAGTAGTTCAAGTGGGGAGAACTATAGAGTAGCTATAGTGAGGGAGACCTGTAGAGTAGATATAGTGGGGAGACCTGTTGAGTAGTTCAAGTGGGGAGAACTATAGAGTAGCTATAGTGAGGGAGACCTGTACAGTAGTTATAGGAGAGAGACCTGTAGAGTAGCTATAGTGAGGGAGACCTGTAGAGTAACTATAGTGGGGAGACCTGTTGAGTAGTTAAAGTGGGGAGACCTGAGGGAGATAGTGAGGGAGACCTGTACAGTAGTTATAGACCTGTTAATAGTGAGTAGAGAGGGAGACCTAGAGTAGAGTCAGTAGCTATAGTGGGGAGACCTAGCAAGTGCTCTGGGAGACCTGTACAGTAGTTATAGTGAGGGAGACCTGTAGAGTAGCTAGTGGGGAGACCTGTTGAGTAGTTAAAGTGGGGAGACCTGTTGAGTAGTTATAGTGAGGGAGACCTGTAGAGTAGCTAGTGGGGAGACCTGTTGAGTAGTTAAAGTGGGGAGACCTGTTGAGAAGTTATAGTGAGGGAGACCTGTAGAGTAGCTATAGTGGGGAGACCTGTACAGTAGTTATAGTGGGGAGAACTATAGAGTAGCTATAGTGGGGAGACCTGTACAGTAGTTATAGTAGAGAGACCTGTAGAGTAGTTGTAGTGGGGAGACCTGTTGAGTAGTTAAAGTGGGGAGAACTATAGAGTAGCTATAGTGAGGGAAAACTGTAAAGTATAAAGAAGGAAACAGACTAAAACCACGAGAAAGACAATAAAATAAAAGTAAGGAAGAAAGCAGCAGATTAAAACTTCGATGTAGACAAGAGATCCCTGAAGATAAGCCATTCCCAGTTTAATTCACCTGATAATTGAGCATCCTAATGCTTCCTGGGAGGGTTAGGTTAGGTGAGCTTAGGTTTGCATTAGGGTGGTTACTCTTCAGATGATCCAACTATGGAATAAGGTAGCGCAACTGCAAGAGACCAGGTGAAAGAGAAGGAAGACATACTTGTGAGCAGAGGTCCATCAGCCCACCACAACACCTTAATTTTACTTTTAATTTTATCCTCTTCGCCAATGATCATTTCGTTAGCCGCTTGGGCGGTTGGTCACATCTCGATTACGCACTGTTGGCAAGTACTGGCTCCTGAATATATCGGAACCTGCTCCAGTGCTGGTCAAGTTAGTCTGCCTTTGAATAAGCTCACACTCAGTACCATCACAACAGGGTCCGACTAATTACCCAAATGTACCCAAATGTAGCCAAATATAGCCGGAATGAAGTCAAATAATGGTCCTAGATGAATAAATCGGACTGCCAATCACTTCTCGACTAGTATTTGGTGTCAGAAAGTCACAAAAAATTGGAAAACTTACTTTAATCTGAGTTAATAGATCACGTGCATGTACCGACGGAGCGAGGAATTACCCAAATGTAGTCGCAATGAAGTCAAATAATGGTCCTAGATGAATAAATCAGACTGCCAATCACTTCTCGACTAGTATTTGGTGTCACAAAGTCACAAAAAATTGGTAAACTTAATTTAATCTGAGTTAATAGATCGAGTGCATGTACCTAACCTAACCTAACCTCGAAAAGTATTTGGTGTCACGAAGTCACAAAAAAATGGTAAACTTAATTTAATCTGAGTTAATAGATCAAGTGCATGTACCTAACCTAACCTAATCTAATCTAACCTAACCTAACACAACACAACACAACACAACTCAGATTAAATTAAGTTTACCAATTTTTTTTTACTTTATGACACCAAATAATAATCGAGAAGTGATTCACAGCCCAAATTACGCTTGTACGACCATCATTTGACTTCATTGCGGCTACATTTGGGTAATTCCTCGCTCCGTCGGTACATGCACGCGATCTATTAACTCAGATTAAAGTAAGTTTTCCAATTTTTTGTGACTTTCTGACACCAAATACTAGTAGAGAAGTGATTGGCAGTCCGATTTATTCATCTAGGACCATTATTTGACTTCATTGCGGCTATATTTGGCTACATTTCGATAATTAGTCGGACCGTCACAACACTCTCTGGCAGATTGTTCCAAGAGCTCACAATTCTCACTCCGAAAAAGTTTGCCCTCACAGTTTTCTGGAGTTGTGACCCTTGTGGGGTGGACGTCCGAGTATTGTCCCTCCCCCCACCCCCGAGATGTTTATACACTTTCATTAGGTCGCCCCTTGCCCGTCTGTAGTATTAGCTAGGCAGTTGCAGCCGCTCTAATCTTTCTGGGTATCTAAGGTTCCGTGAAGGCAACAGTTCGGTGGCCCTCCTTTGGATAATTTCAATCAATTGACAGTCTCTAGCGCACCACGGGGACCAGACGGGGTGACAGTACTCCAGACGGAGAAGCACCTCATTCTTGAAGATCAAGACGAGTGATGGACCATCCAGATATCTAAACGACCTTCTCATAAGACCTACTATAGTTTCGTTGCTTGATTCACCTTCTTCTCACAATGGCCTGAGAACTTAAGTTCATTGCAGACATATACACCCACGTCCTTTTCACATTAAATCTCAATTAAAGACCAGTGGTCGGCAAATTTCTAACAATTTGCAATCGACTAAAAGTAGAATTACTTTTCGAAAATAGTAATCGAGTAGAAATAATATTACTCGTCTCAAAGCGGAATAGAATAAAAGTAAAAATTACTGATATCTGAAAAGTCATTAAAACTATAAAGTAGAAAGTAGTATCTGATTTTTTATTGCTTCTCAATGTTTATTTTGACTAATATAAAGCAAATATAAAGAACAAGTAATCCATTATTTTTACTTTATCCACTACTGTACTTATCAGCTCATTAGCCGCTTGGGCGGTCGGTCACATCTCTGTTGGCAAGTACTGAGCATGCACCGGCTCCTGAATGTATCTGAACCTGCTCCAGTGTTGAACAAGTCTTGAAAGACCTCACACTCGGTGCCGTCACAACACTCACTGGATTATATTGCAGTTGAAAGAAAGGTAAAGATTCGTTTTAATGCCCGCCTCGTGTTTTACAGTGAAATAAATTTTTTCTGGTGTATTTTGGTGTGCTATGTTTAAATCTGAACTTCATTCTCTTTGGAAAATCCCAATTTGAGAAAATGTCAAAGAAATTGGACTAATCAGCCAAAGAAGGTATTACTGTATTTCACTTGTTGCCACTACATGAATCGTGGGAATTTTATAGATGCAATCAGTAGTTTTGACAATTCTATGACACTTTTCTTCAATGGAATTTCTGGTGCAAATTACATATAAGTGAGATAATTAAAATTTTATTATGTATGTCCATACATGGCGGTACACACCCAGAACATGGAACGACTATGGAGCCCCTGGATAGGTCAGGTTCAAAACTGCTTTTCCAATGGTCTTCGATGTGACTTGAACACTTTTTACCTTGATTTTTATAGACAATTTCTAGATTCTGAGATGGGGGGGGGGGCGGGATTATCTCAGAAACTATTGATTTGTGCCAGAAATGAAGGTCAAATACATTCATAACACACCAAAAACCATCGGAAAAACAGTTTCAACTCTGATTTCGGATAGTGGCAACAAGTGAAAAGTTACTCCCAAAGAAACCTAACCCGGTAAAATTTTAGTTTCGGCATTCCTGTATTTGGGTGCGAGAAAATCACAAACAATAGTGATTTCCGACAGCTATGAAGGTCCAAATCGTTCAAAAAACAAAAAACAAAAACAAAACAAAACATCGTTAACAGTTTGTACTCAGGCATTTTTGTATAGTAAAAAGCATTTACTATTGACTTCATAATATCTCCTAATATCAAGTGCACATGGCTTCAAAATGGCCTCAGAATTCCCATGATATTGGTTAGACTTAAAAAAATCCCCAGCTGGGTGGGACCACTTCTTGGCCCTCCTTTTGATATTCCTGGATCCGCCCCTGATATCTACCCTAACCTGACCTTTTTTCGGGATTAACTCACCAGGGCACAGGTCAATGACCCACATCAGGGCCTGAGGCGAAAATCTAATAATAATAATAATAATAATAATAATAATAATAATAATAATAATAATAATAATAATAATAATAATTAATAAAAATTAATAAATTATAAAAAAATAAAATAAATAAATAATAATAATACAGCAATAATAATAATAATAATAATAATAATAATAATAATAATAATAATAATAATAATAATAATAATAATAATAATAATAAAAGGATCATAAAAAAAATCAATAGTGTATCAATACTGTATGTAGAGTACAGTATATTGTGTTCTTAAGGTAAGAGAAACAATTGAAATGCAATTGTATGTAAATGAGGCAAAAAGTCAGATCAGCAACCTGGGACTTGGCCACATATTTTGTAATGCCATATGACAGCAGGGTCTTCCATTAGAAAATACATTATGCTTCCAATATCTTCCCAGGAGGTAGTACCTCCCTGTTTGAGAGCTGCCTACTACCTACTAACCGGATGGCAAACTAAATTAATACCCCTACCATTACCTAACTTCCTAGCCACCGTCATACCCTTAAGCCACTGGTTAAAAAAATCAACATTTCCAAAAATAATAAAGAAAAAAAGGCAGGAAAATAGGCGGACGTTCTGGAACGTCACCTGGGGCACACTAGTCGGACGTTATGGAATGTCACCCGGGGCCTAAGGGTTTTAAACAGAAAACACTTATTTTGATATCTGGTACCAATGAAGGCAGCTTTGGTGAAGTGTCATGGTGCAATTTACGTTTTTAGTGGTCGTGAGAAGAGCTCTGAGCGGGTAGGTTGTAAACAAACAGACAACATGCCGCAACTTGGGTTGGCATATACAGGAGGCAGTGTGGCTGGTAATACATTCCCTCTACTTCAAAGTTTGGTATCCATTCACAGCTGAATGTGATGGATGCGAACCCATGACCTTTAGGATAGCGGATAAACACTATACAATATCCGCTCAGCCACCACAACCCTTATAAGGGAGAGAGCCCAAAATGGCAAAATAAATTGTTGAAAGAAAATTCTTTTATTCGTGAAATACACAACATTTGGGAGAGTGAGTAGAGGAAGGGTAAGAAACACGGGGGGAGAAAGGGGGATAAATCGCTCACCACCAATTAATGTATTACAATAAAACTGTCAACAAAAGAGATGAAGGTTGACTCCAATTAAAAAGCCCCTCAGTGTACACCGCCAATTACCTTCGAAGTCATATAACTTTATTGGCAAAAACACCAAAGTGGTTGGGGGGGTGAGAGGAAGGATAAAGAGAGATGGGGGAGGGATAAGTGGGGTTGTGGGGAGGAAGGGAGAGAAAGAGTTTGAAGGATAGTAAGAGAGAAGGGGGGTGGGGGGGAGGGAAAGGTTTATGCCCACTTTGTCTACTCTGAAAACGTCACATATTCCCAAAATGTATCCAGTACTATCAGTTAATGTCATTTGCATGTTACTCTACATAACCTAACCTAACCTAACGTAGACTAAATGGGAATAGTAAAGTAGAGCCATTTCGAGAGTAAACACAATGGGAGTACACGAAATAGGGTGTTACCGTGGGAACGACAGGACGGATACAGGCGAAATGAGGGAGAAAGGATGAAACAGGAGTAACCGAGAGTGGATAAAGGGAGAAACAAAGAGAATGAGTGGAGGAAGGTATTCAATAAGCAAGGAATGTTACACTTTGCACAGATACAGCTAAAGCCACCACACTATTGACAGGTGCATGACAAGAGAAGTGTTTTTTACGTCGCTTATGATGCAGATTGCAGAACAACAAATTAACACAAGCGACTGTGAACATACATAACATATGGCTAGACATTTATACAATACAGTATTTTTTGCCAAATCTAGTAATAACCAAAACTAACAAATTAAAACCATTTATTGCCAAATTATAATCAAATCTAAACCAATCAATAATATTCATTCTCAAATTAAACCAAATTTATACAAATTAAAATAATTCAGAAACATCTTAATGTATCATAATATTGTCAGATCTATAGATAACGCTGCATGCTTTAACGTACTATACTAACCTGTTGAGTTGTTTAGCTTGTGGCTACGTTTGGTCAGTCCAATTTTAGCCATAAATGACCTGACTGATATACAGTGCAGTATGTTTTTTTTTCCGTACAAGTGGGATGTGTCTTCCAGGAATTAGTTATTAATTATTGGGATTACATTATTTACATTATATTTTTTCTTTTAAGTCAATTTCTGACGTCAACTTATAAATAACTATTCATCAGTGAACTTGTGGGAGTTGCTCAAAAGATTCACACCCATTGAATCCATTCTGGTAAGAACGAACGTGGGTATAGTAATAAACGATGATAACGGGGAAACAGAATAGTGTTAATAACAGCAGCGATAAATTATCAAGGCATGAAAAGTAACACTACTAGGGGTTAGGGGTGAGGGGGGGGGGGGTGTTATGGTCAAACTTCCACTGGCACTGACACTCGGGGTTCCAGATGTTAGTGCCACTGAGTTATGACCTCATCTTAACCCTAGTCAAACACAGCACCACTAATACTTTGGTAAATCCTTTCACCTCTCTTTGGATACAGAAAGTAATTCTTCTGATGGAAGTTAATATACAGTATTATTATTATCACCAGTTAGCATCAACACACTATCATGTGAAAGTTTTATTTTTATGTTCCGTGGGATACATATATATTATATACTCGATGTTCAGCTCTGTAGTTAGTTGGATCTTTTATCAAGTTGGAATAGAAAATTGTCACTCAGAGCTACAATTTGGGGATCAGTAGATACATCCAACAATGAGTAGGTCTCTCCCCTCCGCTCGTGTCATCTGTCAACACCTATAACAGTTCTAGCTACAACATGGAGGAGGAATCTATGTGTTCCTGTTATTCTTTGAATTTTTTCTTTCTTCAAGCCAGGTAGTTTAGTATCCCGACTACTTAAAAGAAAACAACAGTGGCGGATCCCTCTCCGTCTTAAAAGCTGGTTTCCCTCTGTCTCTACTCTGTTAATTGTGTATACTCTAACCTCGTTCTTCCCTTTGCGATAACTGACTGTTTCCCTAGATCTTGTTCGCCTTTAGAAATATCTCTTAGGATCCATATCTTGCATCACAACACTCATTCTTCGTCCATAAATTTAATAAAAGTGTTTTCTAGCAAGAAACAATCATTCTACGGATGACTTAAACATTTAGTATGAACAAGTTAAGTCATTCTTCCCCATGAACGTTTTAGAGACTTCATTCCACCACCAAGGACCTTATTATTACTGATAGAAAGTTATAGTCTAAGTTCTCTTATTCATTTATCAAGAAAACACCATCTACAGAAACCTTAAACTACTACAAGTCATTCTTCACCAAAAAGCCTGAGACTTCATATTCTACCATAAAGAACCTTATTTATACTGAAAAAAAAACACCAGTCCAAGAAACCCCAATGATTTAGTAGTTCTCATCCGTGCCAGACCAAAATCTCCAGTGATTTTCCACAACAAAAACCTCATTATTTGCCCGTGAACCTCAGGAGACTTAGAATAATTCAAGCAATCTTCATTCATTACATAAAAGACCTCATTCTAAACCTATAAGACCCCATTACGCATACGTCAGTAACACCACTTTCCGCCCCCCAGTAGGGTCATGCTGATCTCACGAGGCGCAAGGTACCTGTGCAAGGTTCTCGGCGATGTAGCGCCCCCTGCCGTTGCCGGCCTCCAGCTGCAGTGACCCCCACTCCCAGGAGGTGCGGGAGGGCTGAGGGTCGGAGCAGAAGACGATCTGGATGACAGCGTCCTGACCCTTCTCCACCTGCAAGTTACGCTCCACCGTATACCGTAGTACCTGTGGTGCACCTGTACGTAGGAGACGAGAGTATGGCTAGGTTAGTATCTTTTCACAATATATATATATATATATATATATATAATTTTTTTCCCTCCACTACTAGCGGCCCTGGCAGATTTCCTGTAAAATTTCACTTGCCATTTGATCATATAATGGAGCGAAACTTAATACCTTATATTCAGAGTTCCTGCGCAAGACGCTGCTGGAGTACTGAGTGGCGCTACGTCCATTTTCCTGCAGTAACGTGAGACACTACCACTCTTAAGAGCAATCAACATGGAGGAGGAGGGGAGGGGAGAGGAGGAGGAGGAAGAGGGAAGGGGGGGAGGAGGAAGTCATTCACGTCTCCAACACTTTCTTCTGTTCCTGGACGAGCTGCACCGCGGGATCTTCCTCTAAGTTTGTTCCAGTTGTAGTTTCTTGTGTTTTTTCTTTCTCTAACACTTACAAAGACACACCACCCTCCATCCACTCTTACAGAAAGAACACTTCAAAAGATACTCATTTATCATATTTCCTCGGTTGTGATGTTACTTTCTCATAAGAGTAGTATTGACTAAGTGGAGATTCTGGTTCAAGTGCGATAATGTCATAAATCACTTGGTCGCACACTTTATCGTTACATAGATAGAGGGAAGGTACTAGTGAACTTGTTTAATAATTCTGGTTAGACTTGGTTGTGTAATATTTGTTTGGTTGAGTAAGTTAGGTTTGGTTGGGTAAGTTAGGTTTGGTTGGGTAAGTTAAGAAATCGTGTGGATGTGCATTCGACGTAAAAACATCAGTATCGTGTGGCCGGAGGATTATTCTATCTAATATAACTTACCGTTTTATACTTTGTTTAGAAGGTGCATTATACAGTAACGAGGCAGCGAACTTGTGGCCGCCGCACAGCCTTGGCCAACATTAATAACACCTGAAGGTTGATCAACTCATCTGGAATCCCGCCCACCACGAGCCACGTATTGTGTTGCATTACTGGAGGTTTTAACGATTGAGTATTGATTAATCCAATTATTTGGCTGTGGGAGAGGGTTCTGTGGGTGGTCGGGCAAGGAGGGGGGAGGCTGCTAGGGTGCACTGGGGAGATGAGGGGATGGGAGGGAGAGACAATGGGCGGGACAATGGCAGTAAGTTGAGCCCCGGCTGCGGGCCCCCGACGATCCCCAAGATTACTCACACTCCTCAATAATGTGTGACAGATTTCTGCTTTCTAGGAGGCAGATTCCGCCTCCTCCTCTGAAAAATGACGTTTCCACTCCTCCAGATGACCCGACATAGATACAGGTAACATCATAGAGGACACAGCAAATACTACACGTGAGGGGTGACGACTGTTTACACTTTACACTAATAACGTCACCGTGACGGTACGGGTTTCGCTCACTCTCGCCGGGATAGTAAACAATCAAGTTTTGAATATGTTTAAGGTAATTTTTTTTCTCGAGTGTTAATAATGGAATGTCCACACTCCGAAGTACACACTACCAGACACTGACCTTGGCAGCGACTCACGCAGTAAACCAGGAAATCTAATCGTCCACGGCACGCAGTCTAAGGGGCCACATATGGTACTTTTAGAAATCAGTGACCAAATATGAACATCCCAGCCCTTATGAAGCACGGGCACGATTTCTCTATCTTTCTTGTGGAGGATATCTAATAATGAAAAACTGAGGTGGTTGTGCACTTACCCACGACCTCGAGGGTGATTGGCTGGCTCTTATCCTCGAGAGTCTGGTCCCTAATGACGGAGGAGGCGACGCAGACGTATTGACCCTGGTGTTCATAGGTGATGCCCTCCAGCAGCAGTGTGGCGTTGTGGCCTCGCACTATTGTTTCCCGTGTGTCTGGAACCGTCTGACGGAGGTAAGAATTCTGTTATTGGTGGTGAAGGGGTGAGGTGGTGAGGGGGTGTAGGGATGAGGAGGTAAAGGGGTGAGGGGGAGAAGGGATGAGGGGGTGAAGAGATGAGGTGAAGGGGTGAGGTGGCGAGAGGTGAAAGGATGAGGTGGTGAGGGGTGAACGGATGGGGGTGAGGTGGTGAGGGGTGAAGGGATGAGGTGAAGGGGTGAGGGGGGTGAATGGATAAGGTGGTGAGGGGTGAAGGGATGAGGTGGTGAGGGGGTGAAGGGATGAGGTGGTGAAGGGATGAGGTGGTGAAGGGATGAGGTGGTGAAGGGGAGAAGGGATGAAGGTGCGGGAGGTGGGGAGGGGCTTTTAAATATACGGAATAAGCAAAAAAGTGGGGTTAAAGTAATTGATAGGAGGAAGGGAAGTTAGAGAAAGTAGGCGTGGTGGGGTTGGTGAGTGAGGAAGTGGACGAGTTGGGATGTTTGGGGACTGACCTGCACCCAGGTGTACATGGGCGGGGGGTTGGCCTCAGCTAGACACTCCAGGAGGGTGTGGTTGTGGAGGGCGGCCGTCACCTGGGGGCTGGGGCCTACCTGGAGCACTTTCGGGGGATCTGTACCGATGATCCAGAAAACAAAGTAAAAGAGGTATAACTACCGTGTTTTTTTTTCAACCACATGTTATTTCTAATTTAATAACGTCCTATAACAATTAAAATACTCCTTGTTTTTCTGAGTATAGTACTGTACCATATGTCCTTACTTCTAGCTTATTAACTTTCTGTAGTCTAATGGGCCTTATTTCGTATGGTCCCAAATCCTAATGGGCCCTTATTTCTAACAGACCCCAATCCCAAAGGTTTGGTTGGGTTGTGTTAGGGTGGGACCTATTAGGAGTGGAGCCCATCTGACCGGCAGCCATCTATTGCATGAAACATCGTGTTACTAATACTCGTGTGTGTTGAGACTCACACTTGACGTCGATCTTGACGGAGATGGGGTCAGAGCCGCCCACTGCGTTCCTCGCCTCGCAGGTGTACGTGGCTGAGTGCTTGCGGGTGGCGGGGTTAAACCTGACCTCTGGCTGGAAGCTGAACACGTCCCCCTCGCCCACCACCCGCCACACCACGTTGGCCGCCGGGTTGGAGTCCACCAGGCACCGCAGGGTTACATCGTCCACGCCTTCCTCGATGTCCTCAGACGGGGCGCCCTCTAGGGTGACCGTGGGGGCGTCTGACGGGGCAGAAAGGAAGGGTAAGTGGTAGTTGGAGAGGGGGGCAATTGGTCTCGATAAGGACTGATGAACCATGTGAAACAGGTAAGTGAGGGACATGATACGAGACACAAACTATAACTGAATGGTTTTACTGCTCCAAACGGATATATAAGTTACTTTTGCTCGTAAAAAAAAATTACTGTTTGACACTTCTACCGTCACTACCCAGAACATCTCTATCACATTAATATATATATATATATATATATATATATATATATATATATATATATATATATATATATATTTTCTGAAATTATATTTATATTAGCACCTGCCATCTATTAAGGTTACTCTCTGAGTTAATTGTTTGACTATGAAAAATCTTCATAGGCAGCTTCTCCCGCTGAGAAACTAAGATATGTTTAAAAGAAATAGGCTTCTTATTTATGCATTGTGCTTTATGATTCATTCTAAAACATAATACAACCAAAGACCAAGTCCAAGGTATTCACACTATAATACGAAGACCAAAAAGAAAAGAAAAAAAAAAGACCAAGTCCTCATGTTTAAACTCACACTGGACGTCCATGATAACTTCGACAGCCTCTGACTTGGTGTGGTAAGCCTGGTGGACGGCGACGCAGCGGAGGGGAATGCCATGGTTGTCCTTAACATATGTGTGTTCCAGGACGGACACCGCCACCCACGTCTTGGGGCGGTCCATCTCCGTCGCGTTGGTCTGCTCGTACGACTCAGCGGGGATCTCCTCATCCCCTGGGTGGTAGGCAGGCAACACGTCAAAATATATATCGACAATCAACAAAACACATAATAACAGGTAAAGGAATTGGATCACAAATAAAGACAAAATTAAATACACATAAAACTAATAATCAACAGTACAGGTAAGTTATAAGTCCATGTACAGGTAATAAAACACAGGTGACGGTGATATGATACAATTAAAAGACAAGCATTAGCATAGGTACAGTATAAGTACAGGTATGACAAAAAAAAAGAAAACAAACTAAAACAAAATTTCTAAAACAAAAGTAGAGCAAATTTAGTAGTACTGTATAGGTATATCATTATCCATAAGGGACCAGTATAGTAGGAACTGGTGGCAAGAGTGTTGTCTGAGTTATGCATTGACAGAATTGTTAATGAGTGTATGGTGCGTGGTGGTAGTTTTGGTTGTAGGTGAGGTGGTAGTGGTGGTGGGTGTAGGTGAGGTGGTAGTGGGTGTAGGTGAGGTGGTGGTGGGTGTAGGTGAGGTGGTGGTGGGTGTAGGTGAGATGGTGGTGGGTGTAGGTGAGATGGTGGTGGGTGTAGGTGAGATGGTGGTGGGTGTAGGTGAGATGGTGGTGGGTGTAGGTGAGATGGTGGTGGGTGTAGGTGAGATGGTAGATGGTGGCGGTGATTGAGGGAGTGAGTGTGTATAATATATATTCTATAGGAGGACGGGAGTATAAAACATTTGGTATATTAACTAAGAAACATTCAGAACCCTCCCTTGTGTGTGTGAGAGAGAGAGAGAGAGAGAGAGAGACTCACCTATGAACCATTTGATGTCAGCGGGAGGGTTGCCATAGTGTGAGAGGCACTTGATGGAGGCGGGTCGCTCCTCCTGCACGGTGAAGTTGCGACCAGCCAACACCTGCTGAGTCTCCACCTCTAACTGGGGGGTGTTGGGTGCCACTGTGGACCATGATGATGATAATGTATACATGATGTTACTTCTTATATTATAGATTAGGTAGATCATATTTATACTATTTATACTATTACTACTACTACTACTACTACTACTACTACTACTATTACTATTACTACTACGACGACGACTACTACTGCTATGACGACTACCACTACTACTACAACGACTACTACTACTGCTAATAATAATAACAATAATAGCAGAATCATTGTATATACTATTAGTACTACTACTATTGCTGCTGCTACTACTACTTCAACAATAACTACTACTGTATTAATACTACGACTATTAATCATTTGTAGGGGAGGGTCTCTCTCACCT